AGCTTTTGTTTCTTTGCAGCTGACATTGTGATGGCTTGATGGCTTCACTTAAAGTTAACTTTTTATAATTTTATTAAGCTAGCTAATTAATTAAGTTAATTATGTAAAGACTCCACCTTAATAAAATTAATTATAATAATTGTGGCTGACTGGCTGTTTTTCTTTTCTTTCTCCTGTCTCTGTTTGCCTGTGTCAAAAGTGACTGAGTTAGTAACTGCCAGTTGAGACAGCTACCCTAAACTTCTATAATCTTTGGTCATAAGTGACTAAGGCAGAAACTCAATATAGGTAAACTACTAAACTTCAATTCTGACTTCTGAACTTCAGGGTAGGCTATAGCCTACCCTAGCCTTATGCTAGCTACGCCCTTGCCTGTAATGTTTAATGTTTTAACCTCCATATACAGTTGTATGTCACATCTTGTACATGTATTGCACACACCATTGTAATATCTCTTTAAGAACAAAAACCAAAAGAATATGAAAGAAAGAATGAATGAAAGATAAAAGAACAAACGAACGAATCAACGTGTGTGTTACAAAAATAATCTTAAATAATGTACCACCTACACATAATATTGATAACCATAATAATAATCATGAATAATAATGAGTATGCATGTAACTAACCAAATAATGTAATAATACATAGATAATAGGTAGCGTATGCATCTACATGTATATGGATACCAAAGTTTGTCCATATGAAGATACCACAACCATGTTACTTATTATGTACATTGTACATGTATATGGACTCATTGTACTGTCTTTTCCAGTTTTGTGCATGCATGCATGCAACATTTGATTATTATAATGCTGTATAGCAGGAAATTTTGGTGGGAGTTTAATTTGATGAATTTGGCATTTTGATAGCCATTCGCCAAAATAAAATCTGCCATTTTTAGCCATTATGCACATAAATGACCACAAATTTGCCAAATTAAAATTCACCAATCACCACAATTTAGCAATTCGCCAAGTTTAAGTCCCTCTAAAATTTTCTACTATACGGTACTGTACAAATACCATCGGATAAGGTTAGAGCTACAAATGGGTGGATCTAGGATTTAATTTTGTGGGGCCTTAATGATGTGGGAAGGATAATTATTATGGGGTGTTCAACCAAAAATGTTTAGTAGAGAATCCTAATTTTTATGATTATTTCTGATGCATAATTGCAAATACATGTACACAGTACTTACATATGTACGTGTATGTTGTGTAGAACGTTTAAGCGAATTCCAATTAAAATTGACCTTTAAAATGAATTCTAAAAGTTGTTAAAAGATTGGGCCTAAGCTAGTAACATCTATGTTTTTTAAAGCAAACCAATAAGTTTCTGTTTCATGCAAAAAACAGTTGAAATAATTTAACATGAAATAATATTATTATATTTGTAATTCTAATTGAGTCTATTTTAGCTAAAGGATCAAGCGTCATTGAATGTGTAATTGTGATTGAGCTTTTGTAATTGATCCTACATGTATGTCCGCTGAGAGATTATTTTTATTTTTCATTAGGTTGTGGAGAGCTTTTTGTTACTGATGGGATTTGGAAGTTGGGTTATCCAATTTGTCTTTTTAAAGTCCCTATTACTGTTGAAGGGATGACCATCAATTTACCAGACTGTTGTCCGTTTGAACCAGAACATGGAAAGTTATTTTGTAAGAAACATGCTTCAGAACTAAAAGATGCTGGAATTCCTGATAATCTTCTCGGCTATGCAAGGCAAATTCAAAAAGAAGTTGTTGCCACAACAATGGACTGTTGCAATGAAGATTTAACTGATGAGCAGCACATGGCACTTGAAGACATCTTTAAAAGACTGAATTATCAAAAAAAGGATTCCATTGCAACAGTTGATATGCAAGGTTTGGCACCATATGCATGTAGACGGTAGTTTTATCATATATGTTTAGTTGTGTTTACTGGTGTTTAGTTGTGTTTAGTGGTGTTTAGCTGTGTTTACTGGTGTTTAGTTGTGTTTACTGGTGTTTAGTTGTGTTTACTGGTGTTTAGTTGTGTTTAGTGGTGTTTAGCTGTGTTTACTGGTGTTTACTGGTGTTTACTGGTGTTTAATTGTGTTTACTGGTGTTTACTTGTGTTTACTGGTGTATACTGGTGTTTACTGGTGTTTAGTTGTGTATACTGGTGTTTACTGGTGTTTAGTTGTGTTTACTGGTGTTTAGTTGTGTTTACTGGTGTTTACTGGTGTTTAGTTGTGTTTACTGGTGTTTAGTTGTGTTTAGTGGTATTTAGTTGTGTTTACTGGTGTTTAGTTGTGTTTACTGGTGTTTAGTTGTGTTTAGTGGTG